TCAGGTTCGCTGGCGACGTAAACCGCGGCAGCACGCCGAGCGCACTCGGCGCCTCTTGTGTGCATCACGTACGACTTGCTTCGACGGCATGGCGGCATCACGTTCGCTGGCGGCGTAAACCGCGGCAGCACGAACACTCACCGACGGCACAGAGACCCACCTCGATAGAAGGTCCCCCCAGCAATTACGCTCGCCCGAAATGTGCCGGATGGTGTAATCGTACTGACCTTAGACAGCTTTCCACTGGTCCAGACGCTGAGCCATTGTTTTCGCTACGGCGAACACGCAAGCCTCCGGGTCGAAAATGTACGCGAGATTACGGTGATCGGTGAAGATATGCACGCCATTCCGAAGCAAATACTTCAACCGCTTGAACGTACTCACAATCGCGTACCCTTCCTTGTCCACCGTGGCTCACCGCTGCTGCGCACCCTTAAAATCGCATCGGCTCATGAGGCATATCCTCCACCGGGACGTTACGGTCCAACTGCTCTTGGGGCACTTGGGTGAGAAAACTTCCCCAATCCTCATCGGACGCATCGGGGAACATCAACACGGCGTAATCTGGGCGGGGGTGAGACAAGGCAACAGCACGAGCAACGAGTCTTGCGCGGCATCCCACGCTGCGATCAGCGCGGGCGTCCACACATCCGCAGCGATCGCGCGATTCTCGGCCACGCGCTTCGTCCGGCTCTTGGCACCGACCAAGTGCTGCTCCAGAAACACGAGGAGCGGCCACACAACCTCCGCCATCCGCGGTAGACATGTGCGCAGCCAGTTGACCGCCTGCAGGAACGGAATCAGCTTACCAGTGGTCTCAGGATACCGCATTGTAGCCAGACCACTTCACCGCTCGGAATCATGCTCGACCTTGCCCTGGGAGTACACCTTCCCGCACCATGTGATGCTGGTCTACAAAAACGTGCACTTGTGGGCGGCCACGTACAGGCCAGCCCCCTCGAGGTGTTCAAGAATCAGGTCGAGGGTGTCAAAGCAAGTCTTCTTTGTCCATGCTCTAATACACAACATCCCTACCCAGACGAAGCACTTCACCCCCTCTATGATGCGCGACAAAGTGGCCTGGAAATACGACGTAGCGTTTAAAATACCTTGCGGCACGTAGATGAAGACGCACCTGCACCGTCAGCGGCATCAGGCGCTTTCGATTTCGCCCATATCTGTTGCTGAGACGGTTTCTTACGGGCCTGTACACCGCCACCACGCGATTGCCCAGGCTGCCTGTCTGCCAATTCAACCGTGCGCCACTCGACCGCAACATCCCGAGCGATCTCAAAGACTAGCTCTGGGTTATCCTTCCAGATTACTTGCATGTCGAGCTTGCTTTCCACCTTGACCTTGAACTCGGGCGGAGCCAAACCAGCCACAGCTGCTTTGCTGATGACAGCAGCCGGACCTTTCTTGAACTCGCCCGCGGAATCGCGGAAAACACGTTCAGCGCTCGGTATTCGAAGTAGTGCTTGAGGCGGCTTTGAACAGCGTCGATCCGATCTACAGCAGCAGCCTCAGTCCCCATGGCTACCATACGAGTCAGAGCAGCGGCCGCAATCGAAGGCTCAATGGTATCGTCCGTCGAGCATTCAGCATGTTTGGCGAGAGTCTCGCGCAGGTCAGTTTCTTCGAGTTCGGTGCCATCAAAGTAGGTGCGCGACAGGCATTTCCGGATAGACTGGCGCAGCAGTTGAGACACAGTGGCAGCGGGCTTTTGATGAACTGCCCACTGTTGCAGAGACCCATGCTTCGCCCGTACTCGCTGTGCTGCGTATAGAAACGCAAGGACGAAGCTCTCAAAACAAGTCCAAACTCAGGCGGTTTGGGCCCATTGCCCACGACCAAATCGGTCAGCCCACCCTGAATCTCACCGACCTCTCCAGCAGAACCTTGCTGTCCGCCAAGCGCCCCCTTGCCAGCATTGGAGCGTCTCTGGGCCATCGCGCCGTACGATGCCCGGGTAGATGAAAACAACAGCTACGCGAGAGATCCCTCTGAAAGTGGTGGTATTTTTGGTGGTGTCAACGCGGTGTGTCAACGTAGTTCACGGACCGCAGCGTTGGTGATGCTGTGGCTCTGTTCCACTGATGTAGTTGAGCATCTTTCCATTTCATCCCTCGTGTTCACACATTCGGGTTTGCGGATGCCGATGTTGCTTCAGATGCAACTTTGGCGGGCGTCGCATGTTTCTCACCGTTCGTTTAGTTATGTTGACAAGACATCGTGCGACCTATTTTGCGCGTAGGGCGTGGTGCTTCGCGTGGAAGTTCTGCTTTGAGGTTGCGTTTGCGGGTCTGTTTTGGAGGTGGTATATTCTGTGCGGTTTGTCCCACGTTGGTAGGGTTAATATTCTCCACGATAGTGGCCACAATGTCTTTCTAGTGGTCTTGGAAATGCTCAGACGTTGGTTTGGCGTGTGATGTGCTGGGTGACGAGGTTTAGGAGGGACGTGGTGTTTCTCCGTTCCTGCACCAATCTGACGAGTCATCATTCATCGAGGGGTACTAGTTTGTCTTCCCACGTAGTCGGATTCGTGCGATGGCGTGAAGTTATTTGACTGCAGACGTATGCGGACGTTAAAAATTTTATTTCATACATTTTGGTTTTCTTGTTTGGTTTGGAGTTTTATCTAAAGGAGTTAGAATACAGAATTAGCATACTGGAAGTTGCGAAATCATGCCTGATTGGTGCACTGCTGTCGACTCTCAAATCTAATAATTTTTCCATCTTTGTGGACGTAGCGCACCTGGGTAGCACGAGTTCATGGTTGGAAGCCGTCTCTGGATATCTGCATGTCTAAGATATGGTAGAGGGATATAAATACATATATATATATATATAGAGAGAGAGAGACTCGTGTTAAATAATACACTTCGTTTACCATCACCAAGGACGTCAATCGACCAGCCCCCCGAGGCAACAGGGGGAGGATTCTGATCCTACGCCGTGCCTGATTTCAGGCGTGTCGACAGTTACCGATAACTCAGGCTGACCGACCAGGGTCAGTCAGGATATAAAATGTTTGTGACGCCAGCAGTACAACTATTCCTCCGTGTTTTTCTCGCTTCGCTGAGGGCGAGGTTTTCGGCTGGGGGAGCTGATGTCCTGGTCTCCCGCGGAGCTGCTATCTTGATCTGCACGGGCGTCGTCAACGCGATGACACAGAGACGTTCCGCTACTGGCAAGGGGGCGCTTGGCGGACAGCAAGGTTCTGCTGGAGAGATTGGAGAAATTGGGGGTGGGCCTGCCGACCTGGTCTTGGGCAATGGGCCCAAACCGCGCGAGTAAGGATGTACCTTTTCGAGAACTTCGTCCTTGCGTTTCTGCAATACCGCGAGTACGAATGGAGCATGGGTCTTTGAAACAGTGGGCAATGCATCAAACACCCGCTGCTCATTGTGTCTCTACTGCTGCGCCAGTCTATCCGGAAATGCTTGTTGCGCACCTACTTCGATGGCACCGAACTTGATGAGGATGACCTACGCAAGACTCTGGCCAAACATGCTGAATGCTGGACAGACGATACCATTGAGCCCTCGATTGTGGCCGCCACGGTGTGTCGTAAGGTAGCGATGGGGACTAAGCCGAGTGCAGTCGATCGGATAGAAGCTGTTCAAAGCTGCCTTGAGCAGTACTTCGAAAACCCGAGTGCTAAACGTTTTTTCAAGACTCTACTGCTGCGTTCAAGAAGGTCCCGGCCGCTGTCCTCAGCAAAGCAGTTGTGGCAAGTCTGTCTTCGCCCGAGTATGAAGTTAAGGTGAAGGGCAAGTTCGACTGCAAGGTAGCTAGAAGGACACCTGAGCTAGTCTTTGAGATCGTTTGGGATGTTGCGGCCGACTGGCGCACGGTTGAGTTGGTAGACCGGCAGCGTGGGCAATCGCTTGGTGGCCATATTCAGGCTCAGCAACAGACACGGGCGAAAGCGAAAGCGCGTGACGGAGGTGGCGGTTCAGGTGCGTCTTCGTCTGCCGAGCTTTTTACGTGTTTCTGGTTCAAAAAGCCAGGCTACGCCCCGCAGAACTGTCCGTTGCAGCGATTCAACGCAAAATCCTCTACCCAGCATGCTGTGCATGGGGTGCATTCGGTTTGGACAAGAAAAAGAACACCTGGGAAGAGCTGTCCAAGATCTGGGATGCCGCGCCGCAGAGTGTCAAATCCGAGCTGCGGTGGCTGGGTCTGGCGAAAAATGTTCGGGCTCAGGTGCCTTGTGATTTATCGGTCTAAATCAATCTCTGCCACTCACGTGACAGTCCCGTGAATGACCTACAAGATAAACGAAAATGTATGATTCCTACACTAAACTCAAGTAAAGCCCCTTGCCAACATCTACTGCATAAAGAATGTGAATTTTCGGCCATCTGGTGGCGTTTCTGGCCACTTTTAGTGGTGAAGAATCATTTTGAGGTTGGGTTTTCAGGTTGGGGTTCTCCCATAACCCAACCTGAGAACCCAACCTCAAACTAACACTGCCTTTCCCTGACACCAAATCCTCGCAGCAGCCATCCAACTCATCAGCAAATCACTTGCAACTGCTACCGCCCACACTCGACCCCTCGACCACCCCACCTACTCCCTGGAAAGCAGTCACCGGGGCACCTGTTACCTAAAAAAATAACAACCTCAAAAATCCAACCTCAAAGTTTAAAAGCTGTCTAAATCAATCTTCACGTCACCCATCTAACACAGCATATCCCACCACCTCTTTCCATACCAACACCCACATTGCACTCATACACGTTGAATTTAACTCATCCATGTCTCACCAGGTAAAACATGGGCAGGAAAAGGGGGAGGCAGCGTGGCAAAAACAAGAAGCAGATGATGAGCAAGAGAGGGGGGAGACAGCTCTGCAAAAACAAGAAGAACGTCCCGGCGACCCCGAAGCTTCGCGACAACAGCCGCGTGTACTTCACGACTGAGGGGGCGCAGTACATGGCGTGGACGTCGGTGGCGGCGGTCTGTGTGCTCTTTTCGGCGTCATTGCTGTGGCGATGGACGCCGCAGGAACCCCTTGTGAGGAGATTTTCGTAGGCGTCAGCGGCGAGCTCACGGACGACATGAAGGAGTACGTCCAGTCCCTCCGCGCCAACATCGTCAGCACGTGCGGCGACCACTTCGCCTTCAAGGATGGTGAAGAGCTGGCGAGCTTCGACGACATCGTCCACGACCCGATGTGGGTGATTGTGACGAGGGCGATGTGGGAGCTGGTGACACTTCATCCAACTGGATATCTCGACGGAAGGGCGGTGTGGCTGTTGGCGAAGTTCCTCGGGTTGCACGGATTTAGGATAGTCAAGCACGAAGACGGCCACTTGGTCCCATGTGATGCCGGGGGCCCCATCTCCTCCCAAGAGTGCCCCATGATGCTGCACGACGGCTACGGGCACTTCAAGGCCCTGATTCCACTTCGAAGAATGCCACTGGTAAGTCTCGTCTGTTTTTAGTTGTATGTGTGCGCGTACATGATATGATCCGTGACATTTTTGCTTTGAATTAAAAAACATATTTGAAGCTCACACAGCTCACGTTTGGCCAACGCATTGTTTTATTTTGCCCCCCCCCTCCAGGTCCCCCCGCTCGGTGTTTGCCATCGGGATTGGGTTTTCGTCACTTGGCAACGACGTTGTAAAAGAAGCCAATTCACTTCGTGAACTCGGCAACCAGGTTACCGTTTTTATTTTTTACCTCGTTTTTTTTTTTGGCGGTAACCATATTGGTGGTCGAGTAGATCATGTTGTGCGGGGTGGAGAACCCTCACTCCGCGCAACGGGGGATGATCGCACCACGTTGTGTTAATATTGGTCAAGCACCATCGAGGCAGTTACACAGTGCTTACAACTGTCTCTGGAAGTAAAAGCACCAGAAAATAAATTGAGTCATACGTAGCTGTCATCCGTACGCAAGGAAGTAAGCACAAGATGCCGAACACCCTTAGAAGGATGCAGCTCACCCTTCATGCGACTCGCCAAATACCTCACGGTGCTTCGCGCTTGGTGATGTGAGAGCCTGGTCCGGTGAGAACCCGGCGTGCTCCGTCCCGGCTTTGTAGGGATGCGAGGTCAATGGTCTAATGACTACGGCATGCACGACTATGAGTACACCCCCCCCCCCCCTCCAGGAGTTCGAGATGGAGGAAGAGTACCATTTGCTCCTCGACGAGGGTTTCGTGGACGGCACCGATGAGGAGGAGGCCGTTCCGGGGACGTCGGATTCGGAGACTTCGGACGGCACCGACGAGGTCCCTGAATCGGCTGTCGCGGTAGATGTAGCCGGCACGGAGGCGTCTGACGGTGGATCGACGCCAAGCCCCGAATCGTCTGATTCCGGTGGGGGCGACAGTGACCTGGGGGCACGTGGAGCGTTTGGCGAAAATGCTGAGGTGCGCGTTGTTCGTTAATTCTCCTTGTGTAAAATTCTCTATAAAAAATAGTCGTCTAGTGGTCCGAACCACCGCATCGTTGTTGACATAACCACCGCATCGTTGTTGACAGACAGCAGCCGTAGCACTGAACATACAAATCCATGGTCTCATTTCGTTGATTGAAAAATAGGGAGAAGAGGTCAAAGCGGCTACCCGTTTGTCCAGCAAGAGGAGCCACCCATGGGACGACGACGAGTATTGGGATGACGACGCCAACTACTACTCGGGTTGCACCATAGTTGGCGAAGACGGGTGGACTCTCGTCGGCAAGGAAGGTCGGCGAATGGGGTTGGAGACAAGCTTGGCCTTCGACGAAGTGAGTCCCTGATACCCCAACCTGAAACCCCAACCTGAAAACCCAACCTGAAAACCCAACCTGAAATACCAACCTGAAAACCCAACCTGAAAACCCAACCTGAAAACCCAATGCTTTTCGTGAACACAGGCCTCGGGTTTGTACGACCTCACCAGTCCGAACAAATGCCAGCCTTTGTTCCTAGACCACGATGACGAAACCGATGAGAACGAAGCAGCGGAGGTGGACGAGGCTGTGGACGAGGTGGGCGAAGATGAAGCCGCAGAGGAGATGGACGAGGACGAGGAGGCTGAGGCTGAGGCTGGAGAGGAGGTGCAGCAGACTATCGTCGTACACGAAGGAACCACGATTTCCCCCTGGATGCTGGCTTTCTTTCTGCCGCTTCTGCTCGCCGTTGGGGCCGCTCTTTTCCTGGTGTTTCAGGCAGCCGTGACCTCTACCACCGTACTCCTTAGCATCGGCGAGGCATTCGCGTCAGTCAGCAACAACGGCAGCAACTCTGCCAACAACAACAGCAGCAGCTCTCGTCGGCGGCGTGCAGCTCGTCGTGGCAAGACTGGTCGCACGAGGATCGGCAGGATTCTGAAATGCAGATTTGCAGGAGGGAGACGCTTCCGTCCTGCAAGGACTCGTCGCAACGGAAGAGGTTTCTGGGCACGTGGACACAGGAGGAGTGAAGGCGAGATTCTTGTGATGGACGATGATTCTGCACGCATCTTCGGATTGGTGCTGGCGTTTCTTCGGGGAGGAGCGAAGTCGGGTGACCAACAACAGGTGTGTGCGTGTACCAGTTGATTTGTGTTCTTCAGAACGTATTTTCATCACGCGACAAAACGGCAAGTCAAACAAGACATTAACTTCTCCAAATGCTTGCTTGGTCGTTCCATCCCCGTCGTCCCATCCTTTCTCGCAGACACAGGGGAGGCCGAAAAGGGACAGGCGTCCAGCAGGGGGGGTATTCGCCCCCGGTTGGGCACCCGATCCTGCCCCAACCGCGCGCAACGACAGCGCGAGAGAGTCCGAGGAGGATGGTGAAGATGGTGAAGACTCCGGGGATGCAGATGATGCCGCGTCTCTGGATGGAGTCAGCGATGGCGAAGAGTCTGAAGAAGATGAAGAGGACTCCGATGAAGACTCCGGTAAAGGGCCTCGTGGTGCTGGTGGGGGAGCGGGTGGTGTGGCGTCAGCGGGTGATGAAAACTCCGATTTAGAGGACTCCGGGTATGCTCCCAGCGAGGCCGGCGACACCGATGGAGACACCGACGACGATACCACCAGCGACGAGTGTTCCTCCACCGGCGGGGAAACTCGCTGCGAGGGGTGCGAAGAAGACTTCTATTGTGAACTGGTGGAGTGCCCCACGTGCAATGCGCAGTATTGTCAGGACTGCGAGAACGACTTGTCTTCTGACAAAGAGGTGAGCTGAACTCGTGTTAGTATTGAGCGAGTAAGGGCCGAAACCAAACTATATGCGCTCAAAAACTTCAAAGAAAACCCGACCAAGCTTATTTTTTTCTGTTTTGTTGTTATTTGTTTTTTCACCAAACCACAGCGAACGTGTTCTAGGTGTCAGCGAGCGGACGATGATGGTGTTGGTGATTTTTCGAGTGGGGGGGTCACTGATGGACCGGATAAGTACACCGACACAGATAGTGGTAGCGTCTCTGGAAACTCCAAGCGACGTCGTCGATCTGCGGGGAAGAAACATAATCGCATTCCAAGAACTTCTAGCCCGAGAGAGTCGTTGATGGTGCCTAAAGACGACCAGCAGGCGGAACTTATGTTAAGTCTATACCGCAAAGCCCGCGAGATGGAACGGAAACTCGCAGGAGAAAACAAGAGAATCAAGGAGGTAAGGAACCTCACCCTCCTCGACCTCACGGAAGCAGCAAGCTGCTTGGACAAGGGTAATCCCGTAAGCGAAGAGATCTGGCGAAAGTGCGAAAAGGAGAACTACGGCCTGTACGGTATCACCGTGCGTCGAGCCGGGCCAACCGGTGAGACGATTCCGGGGACCGAGGTTACATCAGACAAGGGTAGACGGGGGGAGCTCGTGGAGGCAAAGATGGATGAAGGATACACCGTGTTCACCGTCGAGTGGTCGGAAGGCAAGAGCAACAGACGCAGCGCATATTCTACGGAGGACGTGCTTCGTGATCGCGATGATAACCAGGGCGTGGCGACACTTGAGGAGGCGAAGGAGAAAATGGGGGTGTTTCTACTTGCAACCTTGTGTATGGTCAACGCCCAGGTTTACCGATTCATTACCAAGAACACCAAGTTGGAGAATGTGTCAGTGTCAAGTGAGACACGCCCCCTGGCCCGGGATAAAACAGTTGATATTACAAAAGGCCGGAATCACGCTTGGGAGGAGACGAAGAAAGCTCGTGCGGTGGACACGCTCATGGATAATGAAGTCACGTTCTTGGACTCCTCTGAGGACAAAGGCTTGCGGGTGGAGATGGAAGAAAAAACGTGCTTCGAAATGATGGGATTGATCAATGACGCCAGAGCTCACTTCACGGGTCTCGTGAGAAGCACGGAAGACTTCCAAGACAAGCATCTAGCTTTCGTCAACCACTTTGTGAGGGGGGCGCAGGCGTCCTTTCGGCTGGGTCGACCCACCAACATGGCGTCGTCCATGATCCATCTTTCGGTGAACGAGCTTCCTCCCGGAGTCCAGGCCAAAACATTGAAGGAACAAGACACTCAGTTGTATCAACCCGGTGAGCCGACGTCTTTTAGCCTGGGGATGAGGTGTGTCTTGGCGAGGGCACGGGTGAAGGATTCAGAAGAGTTTGGTGACGGGGGATCTTCGACCTGCCAGTTTCTGATGAGGTATCCGTTGTACAGGCTTTTGGATCTTTCCCGGGTTGATAATCTTCCTCTGTGTCCGACAACGGAGCATTCGAGTCATGTTTCACCAACACTTCGCCACAGAGATGCGTACAGTCAAGCGTTTTCTTCGCACAGTAAGCGGAAAGCGGATTTGGACGTGTTTGACATAATCAAGGGGGGGTATCATTCTGTGTCGCAAGAGAAGCGGTCCGAAAAAGGTGTGATAGAGAATGAAAACGAGAGGATCGCATTTGGTGCGAAGTTCAATAAAGGCAGGACTCACTTGGTGGGAAGCGATGAATGTCTGCAAGGGTTTCTTTTACTTGAAGAACTCGTGTCTCGCAATGGGATAGACTCGTTCATGGAGAAGTTACCCGACAAGGATGATATTGTCAAGATGTGCAATGAAGTGCTTGAGATGAACCCACGCAAGCGCGAGAACGAGGATCATCTTTGTCCACCGGAGTTCAAACAGAGGATTGAAGCGATCGTCGATGAACTGGTAGAAGGAAACAAGGTAACCAGATCGGATATTTCGTTGCTCAGTTGCTCTTTAACGGTGTTGGATTCTCTGCTTACCGCTGCCCTTCGAAAGCAAGACATTTTGGGACAGCTTGCTAAAGATTTGTACCGAATGAAGTGTAAGGACGTATATGGCAACGACGTTGCTATTACCCGGTGTCTTCTTCCCCGTTACTTCAAAAACAAGAAAGCACTCGAGAATTCTACGTGTGGAGTAGTTGTGAACCATACAAAACATGAGAAGTGTGAGGGGGCGTATGCGGTTATGGCAGTCATTGGGAGGAAGGTGATGCGAAGCTTCTTGAGAAGGAGGCGGAAAAGAACTTGGCAGAGCTCAGAAAGAAAGGGGGGTGTACCGAGAAAGCCTTAGAGAGGGTGGCCGAGTCGTATACTCTTACACCCCATTTGGGTCCCTTTGACGACAAAGGTTGTGTCTTCACACCCAGTCAAGTGACGGGTATGTACAAATGGTTGGGGCAGCGCACAATGGGCCTTTCGCATTTTGGCACTCACATCATCCGCAGTAATCACGCGACGGCGGTGGCGATGTACTGTGTGAGGACAGGGCTGTCGCACGATGACCAGGCGGTCAAGGATTTGTTTGCTTTGGCGAGACACGGTGATAAGCAGAGGATTCGGTTTTACACGAAAGTCAAAGGTGATACGCCAAATTCGTGTGATTTCCTGACTAATTTAAGTGGTGCCCTTCCCTCACTTCGTCGCCTCGGGGAGGGGGGGGGAGTCAAGACTTCTGAGAAAAAGGTGGCGTCACTGAGTGATGTTGAAGAAGTAGGTCTTTCGGGTCTCTTTGCCTTCGAGGATGCCGAGTTCGACAAATCCGGGGCGTTTGCACGTGGGAAAACGGTGATGGGTGACGGGGCATATAGAGAGTTGGATGTGGTCGAGATGGATGATGAAGAGAAGGACTTGGTTAGGCAGGAGCGAAAGGTTACCAGGAAAGCTAATATTGCGATTGAAGAAAAACGGGAGAAAGAGGCCAAGACGGCCCAGTTTGAAAATAAGGTGGACACCGGTGTGAAGTCGGGTGGTCGGAAGAAGGGGGGAGTTCGCGCTGACAGGCTTGAGTATCGCAAGAGTGCGTTTGCCAAAATAAATCAGTTGGTTTTGAAAGCAAGTAAGCTGAAAAGGTTGGGAAAGGGCAAGAAGCCCAAGCGGATGACGTTGGAGTAGTTTGAAGAATGATCAGAAGACTGTTAGAGTTGCGTTCCACGACAACGTCAAGCGGTTTTTACACTCGGCGAATCCTGGGGAGAAGGACTTTTTGGATGGATTTTATTTGAATTTGATCGACGGGAAAAGTAGGCCCGGGAGTAAAGCAGTTGCTTACGCGAGGGAACATCGGATTGAGTGGAGTTACCACGATTGGTCTACTGGGAATGTTTGTGTTAGCGTACCACAGGAGAAAAAGGGTGGTACGAAGAGGAAGTTGGTTGAGGAGGGGGAGGGTTAGTAGTAGCGAGGACCGTTCTTTTACGTACGTTCAGGTTTGAAATTTTACGAGTGTGTTCCTTGGCCATATGTGACACAGCACAAAAAAGTAGAGTGCCAAACGTTTTCAATTTCAGCTATAATTCAAGTTTGAAGCCAGTTCTGGGTGATACAGCAGTACTGCACGCACACGAATCCTTGTCTCAATGGCGTTCTCGGCCCGCACACAAAGTTCAGGTTTGAAAACTTGGGAACATGTACGCCTGGAACGTGTGCACCCATTCCTGTAAAACAACCAACCTTGTCGGTATCCATGGCGCTGAAAATGGCCGGTTTCAAGTCAAGCTTTTTGAGGCCACGGGGCCCCCTTTTGCCATTGCTTTGCTCGACAAGTCATCAAGGAAGTGCAGGATGACTCCCCAACTTTGTACGAAGGTGTGTCTTGGCCATGGTGACACAGCACAAAAAAGTAGAGTGCCAAACGTTTTCAATTTCAGCTTTAATTCAAGTTTCAAACCAGTTCTGGGTGATACAGCAGTACTGCACGTACACGAATCCTTTTCTAAATGGCGTTCTCGGCCCGCACGCAAAGTTCAGGCTTGAAAACTTGGGAACATGTACGCCTGGCATGTGTGCACCTATTCCTGTAAAACAACCAACCTTGTCGGTATCCATGGCGCTGAAAATGGCCGGTTTCAACCTTTTTGAGGCCACGGAGCCCCCTTTTGCCATTGCTTTGCTCGACAAGTCATCAAGGAAGTGCAGGATGACTCCCCAACTTTGTACGAAGGTGTGCCTTGGCCATGGTGATACAGCACAAAAACGAAGAGTGCCAAACGTTTTCAATTTCAGCTTTAATTCAAGTTTGAAACCAGTTCCGGGTGATACAGCAGTACTGCATGCGCACGAATCCTTGTCTCAATGGCGTTCTCGGCCCGCACGCAAAGTTCAGGCTTGAAAACTTGGGAACATGTACGCCTGGCATGCGTGCGCCTATTCCTGCAAAACAACCAACCTTGTCGGTATCCATGGCGCTGAAAATGGCCGGTTTCAAGCTTTATGAGGCCACGGAGCCCCCTTTTGCCATTCCTTTGCTCGTTTAGTGCCGATGGAAATGCCGGATGACTCAAAAACTTTGTAGGAATGTGTGCCTTGGCCATGGTGACACATCCCGAAAAAGCAAAACGTCAAAAATCTTTAATTTAAGCTTAGGGTTATTGTTAACGCAAAGTCGAAATCGTTCTTTTTTAAACGGAACGGTTGAAAGAAAACCCGACTTTTTTTTGCTTGTTCTTTTCGTGATGTCATCAAAAAAAGCACGTTTCCTTCCCTGAATACACGCTTTGCTCGGCACACAACAGGTTGACATGGTATTGCTCACCATAGAGCAGCGATAAAAGCGCAATAAGCAGCACCCGGCACAGAGGACAACACACTTAGAAAGATCCCGTACACCCGGCCTGCTGTTTTCAGTTTTTAGCAACAACAGGCGCACGGCAGAGTGTCGCAACCTGGGTGTTGCTTGCGATTTCTTCAGTTTGCCAGCTCATTTTTCACGGTTGCGACTCCCATCTTTGACCACCACCTACCCAAAGGTAGACGAGCTCAACAATCATAGGGCGGCAGCCGCGCTGACGGCCAGCATCATATAGATGGCCAATCCGAAAGAATGAGCGTGTTGGAGGCCCTGTTGCTCTACTGCTGCGTGACGCCGTGGATTGATGTTCATGTGTCCGACCAAAAACAGATCATCTCGCCGCAATTTTTCCAACGGCATTTTGGTGAGGTGGCACACGTCTCTCACACACCTTATTGAGCAGCACCCAAGCACTCAATACCCACGAAGCAGCACGGCGCCGGGAGATGGTATCATATAGACAGCCGAACCGAAGGAATCAGCGCTTTGGAGGTCTTGCTGCTGCTGCTGTACTCGTTCTACTGTTTCCGTGTTTGCTATGTGTGATCGAAAAAAATTCCCCAGCACCAACAGCAGCAGTTGAAGACGAGAGCACCACGCAATGTCTAGTTTTGGACCAAGAACGGACTGAACGCCGCTTCTGCCGCTTGTCCATCTCCACAACAGACCTGGACGTGAGTCTGGCAGGTCTTTCTAGCGTTCTCAGTGATGTTACAGCGCCTGCGGTGCGCTTGTCCGATGCTTCTGTCAAAAACACGAATTCGTTTAAGTAGCAAGCCCCAAAAAAACCGGGCTCCTTCTTTTCACGCTTTCGTTCAAAAACGCCTCCATATGTGTTCAAGAAAACACGGTTTCGTTTTTGTTTTCGTGTTTTATTGGTCGATAAGAAGCACCCTTAAAAGTTACTTTGGAACCAGCGCCGGGCGCTACAGCAGTACTCGAGGTGCCCGAAGCCTTTTGGCATTGGCAGTCTCGGCCGCCACGCAAAGTTGAAGCCTGGAAAACTTCCGCGGTCAATGCGCGCAGAGGCGGCGGCGGCCATCGGACCACGGTGCTTCATCGCGACGGCCGCAACCCCACCGCGCCTCGCGCTTTTAAGTCCCGCGGGCTGAATGTTGCTAATGTGAAAACTGCTGACAAATGTACAGCTCGGCAGTATGTTGTGGTGCAGCACACAAATCCGGTGCACCAGACACCACACTGTCTGCCGCAGTCGGTTCGCGCAGAGGCGGCGGCGGCCATGGTGCTGATACGGCACTAGTGGCACGAGAGATGGCTCAGCCGACGCACCCAACGGGCCAAACCATGACCCTGGGGTACGCTCTCCCTCGGCAGCGGCCAGTTGCACACGCCCAGCGCAGCCCCGCCACAACCCACCCGCGGCTGCGATTTTCTCCCGCGGGACACACGGTAGCCCGGCTGTCGCTATTGTGAAATTGCTGACAAATTGACAGCTCGGTATGGACAGGTGAGTGTTGGGAAAAATAGCGCCCGCTTCCCTTTTCGTATATCACATAGGCTCATTGGTTGATGTGGTCGCTTCGGCGCGCTTAGAGTCCCGGCTTGTGACAACGACGACGGATTTCAACTATGTAGATGGGAACCTCTGTTTCAAGGTCGGACGCGCGCGCAAAAGAAATACTTGGCTGTGTTGCGGATCAGATGCGCGCGGCCGTCATGCAGTTTTTTGTGGTACGTCGTCATCGTCCAAACTGTCTGTATGTGTAAGGCCACGAACCAGCAGTTCGCAGTCCGCAGCGGGACTCGGTGGGGGGAGGAGACAGAGGAGATGCACGCACAAAACGAGCAGGAAAGAAATACAAAAAAGGGGACGCGCCAAAAAAGGCTCGCCGGAGACAAGCAAAAACAACAAAACAAGCACGCCATGCCAGCCAGCCCCAGTCCTCCGCCCAGGGTGGTTCCGGAAACTACATAGAGTGCAAAAACAACTAAACAAGTACGCCATGCCAGCCCCAGTCCTCCGCCAAGGGTGTTTCTGGAACTTACACGGAGTGCAAACACAACAAAACAAGCACGCCATGCCAGCCCAGTCCTCCGCACAGGGTGGTTCCGGAAACTACATAGAGTACAAAAACAACTAAACAAGTACGCCATGCCAGCCCCAGTCCTCCGCCAAGGGTGTTTCTGGAACTTACACGGAGTGCAAACACAACAAAACAAGCACGCCATGCCAGCCCAGTCCTCCGCACAGGGTGGTTCTGGAAACTACATAGAGTGCAAAAACAACTAAACAAGTACGCCATGCCAGCCCCAGTCCTCCGCCAAGGGTGTTTCTGGAACTTACACGGAGTGCAAACACAACAAAACAAGCACGCCATGCCAGCCCAGTCCTCCGCACAGGGTGGTTCTGGAAACTACATAGAGTGCAAAAACAACTAAACAAGTACGCCATGCTAGCCCCAGTCCTCCGCCAAGGGTGTTTCTGGAACTTACACAGAGTGCAAACACAACAAAACAAGCACGGCATGCCAGCCTCAGTCCCCTCCGCCAAGGGTGGTAAAATCACCGACCGCGCGCAATAGTGTGCGGCATGAAATCACAGCGGGATCTGAATCGCTCTTTGGAAAGTTGGAGATATCGGTTGAACCTCGAAAACTGGTCAGTTTTATTGATCTCTCTCGGATAAATCACAACACCCGGCTAGGTGGCGTCACAAGCCATACATCACAGTAAAAAACAAGCTACTGAGGTTAATTCTAGCACAACCCAAACCCAGAGAAGCCACAGAAGACGTCCTACAAAACCATTCTTCAAAACGCACCATACATCAGACATGCCCTCTGCCTACCTTCCGTCCTCTACGCTGGCGTAGAAGCAAAGCGCGCTACCAAGATTATCAACCGAAGATCATCAATACATCATCGTCTCTAACAACAACCTACCGCACGGGAGAAAAATTTCCACCAAGGAGGTAACAAAGGCGCAGAGGAAGCCCACGTGAAAGCTCCTTCATCGTTCCGCGTCCGATTACCACCGCTGCTGTAGGTGTGGTCAGCGGCAACAGGTGTCGTCTTTCGGGCTGACGTCTCAACTCAACGCCCGCCAAGAACGCGACGATGAGTCCTCACCCTGTTAGCCCCTCAGCGAAGACGTCAACACGATTGCCTCGATCACCACCACCAGCACCATGCAAACGTGAGCGGCCACGAGGACGCTCTCAAACACCTTCTGACTGCTGGCGTCCTCGTCCGCCACGTCCACCTTCAGCAGGAGAGCGACGAACATGCTGACAAACACAACCACGTGCCCCATGCGGTTGACCCAGCGGTCCCACTTTGATGAGTACGGGGACAAAACTTCTGAGACAATGACGAACGCAAAGGCGATCATCAGCGTCACCGCAATCTGCGCGGCCGTGTCCGGGTAGATGAACACGACCACACCGGCAAGCAGAACCCTCCAACCACACTCGAATACCTCGTAGTAAAAGACGGACGGCCTGTACGGCTTCCACAGACCGGACGTAGAAGTGACCCGCGGAGTGTCTTCTCGGTCGGCCTCGTCCTTTTTGAGCAAATGACGATCCCTGAAAACGAGGCCGGCGTAGAGAGTGGGGATGCCCACCGTGTACAGGACGATCATAAAGCCCGCGTTTATCTTGAAAGCCTGATGCTTTGGTGAATCGCACTCAATACGATAGTCCGAACGAAGGTAAATGCTCTCGCCCAGCTGCTCACACGCGAATGCTTTGAAGAGGATTGCACTGACGTTTGAATACACAAAAAACGTCAGCAGCAGCACCATGGAAACGTGCTTGTTCCAGACGCTCTGGAGGTTCTGGGAGGATCCCTGATGTATCTGAAGAGCGCAGGCGTAGGTGCATGTGAGCAACATCAGCCCGACGATGGGACCAATCGTTGAGACGAGGAGTCGGTCATGGAAATCCGTACGAACGACACAACCGACCGAGAGTATCCAGGATAGGTCGAAGTTGAAAATGTCCAGAGCGGTCAAGAGGTCTTGATACACGCTCGGGTAGGTGACGTTCGCCACAGAAGTAAACTGGGCATAAGGGACGAAGAGGCACATACGCGCACACACGCATAAGGGGGCAGAGAATGGTGAACATTCCGGCCAATCACGAATGCCGTGCTCATTCCTCATTCCTCAAACATGGTATGTACTCGGAGTAGTGGCACAGAAACCGAACAGTAGACTTGTCCTAGACATGCACAACACCAGGCCCGTGGGGCGTCATAAACTACTACATACATCCGCGGACGCGTGTTTTGTGACACCCGAAACCATGCAGTGTGCTTAGGCCGGTGTGTGCAGCTGGTGCCCTCCATCAAATAGAACAACGCGAATATGCGATCTACACGCGTCTTTCACCCATCAAATAGAAGCACTTGCCGCAAGTAAAGCTTAGCTGCTCCGTGAAGTCTTCGCTGTATACGCTGCAATCTGTGCGAAACAGCGAGAGCCACGAGCACAGGAGTGGAACAATGGGAGTGATCTGGTATTTGGAGCGTCAGACGTTTTATCGATTTGGGTCTTCCCTCCTATTTCTGCATAGCAGTGACGTTAGAATTGGGCGACTACGGGTGATATGGCGAACCAGCAGGTTATTTGACATTGCCGCGAACTTGGACGACCAGCGTTTTGTTTCCATTTCGGCCGCGAGTTTTGAGAAACTTTGAAGCAAACAAACATTCTCCAAAGTCTCCGCATTTTTTTGGCAACGCCATATAAAGGACAACAAGGCCCGACGAAGAAGGGCGTCCTTGTCCCAGACTAGAGTAAAATTGCGATAACCCTCTCAACTTGGATAAGCTCGCCTTTGCTACAGCTAGACACGCATAGACGATCTACACAAAAATATTGCTCTAGAAATGACAACAAGACGAGGAGCATCATGGCGCACACACATGGTCCATAGTAGCCTTCAAGGCAGTAGTCAAGTGACCCTGTTAACCCTCCACCACAGGCGTCGGAGTGGTAGCACGCGAGGACCTCTCTACTGGATACGGAGTGTCGCCAATATCCCTTCTCGATCGTGAGTGATTGCAGGGTGGTGTTGAGTCCACTGCTCGTAGAATGCTCTATCGCCGTCGTGCACACCGGAGCCACTTGGTCTTTGAAGACGCGTCCATCGTATGATATGTTGCATGCTTCGCAAACGGCCTCCGATGGGTCGACCGTCTAGCCACGTAACGAAAACACGAAGGAATTGCAAAAAAGTTGCAGTTGTAGTTGTGGCAAGCAAAATCTCACGCGCCCCAACTTGACGTGCTGCCAGCCCGGAGGGCGGAGGTATGAGTGGAGCAACAACGATGTGGACGCGGGACACAATTTTCGTCCATCGAAGTAGCACACCCGGCTACCCTCAACCCGTCTAGTTTAGTACTATTAACTATCTGCCGATCGATGTGGCTAAGTTGCTACAACACACATAACACAGCGGCTACTATCGCAGGACACAGCAGCAGTTGTTGCATTGCTGCAAAAAACACTCAACAATAACCCCAAACTACAATATTCTAACCACTCGATTCAAAGCGATTGCTTACCTCGTTCCAGTCTAGGAACGTGCCGGATGGGCAGTCGAACCCGTTGCCGCTGAAGGAGATGTTGGCGACACTCGAAATGTAACCGATGTTCGACACGGCTGCCCCTTGTCCATCGTCTGAAGTGTTGTCCAGAAACGAACAATTGTAGATGGATTGTAGTATGCCTTCAAGTCTCACAGCCCCCCCTGTCCTTGCCGAGTTACCCTCGAACACGCAGTTGCCAATATTGTCCTGTCCAGAGGCGCTGTGTATGGCTCCACCTGCTGTTGCCGCCTGATTGTCGTTGAATCTACACTGTAAGAACCTTGTGGGAGAAGGGTAGGCACCAGTATCAGTCACCTCTGTCCCATATCGAGGCAGCCCCTCCAATCTCTGCCGAGTTGAAGCTAAACGTTACGTCGGTGAACGTCGGGCCAACGCTGGTGCCTGCTAGGAAGACGGCTCCTCCCGCGATTGCAGCAGAGTTTTCAAGAAACCTGACATCCCCTGCACCGAAGGTCAAATTGCATGAACCAAGAATAGATAGACCACCACCGTTTGCCGCGGAAGTGTTGAAGAAGGTAGCGGTGCCGTTTAAGACCAACGTCGAACTTTCGGTGGATCCAAAGGCGTTTACTGCTGCCAACGCCCCCCCGTTTCCGACCGATGCTACGTTCGACGTGAATTTCGTATCGCCGGCAAAGCTCACGCTACCACTTTCCAACCCTACTGCACCCCCGATGCCCGCACTGTTGTTGACAAACTGCGTTGTCGCGTTGTCTCCTGTCCAAGAGACGGTCGAACCAGTCGTCAAAAGCGCGCCCGCATTGTTTGCTGCAGTGTTATCGATAAATTGTGTCGTCGCATTGTCTCCTGTCCAAGATACGTTCGAAGTAACCGCCCAGAGGGCGCCTCCACTGACGATTGAAGTGTTGTTAATAAGCTTTGTTGTTGCATTGTCTCCTGTCCAAGAGACAAATGAATCGGTCACCGAAAGCGCACCCCCAGAGACATCTGTTGCACTGTTGTTGACAAACTCTGTCGTCGCCCCGTGTCCAGTCCAGGAGACTGTCGATTCGGCTATTTCTAGCGCGGCTCCAAGTGAATAGTTGTCGATGAACTGTGTCATTGCTAGATCCCCTGTCCACGATATATTCGAGTCGTCCACTCTTACGGCTGCTCCAGTTCTTCGTGAGGTGTTGTTGACAAAGCTCGTCGTTGCTGTGTTTCCCTCCCAGGCGACCGTGGAGCCACTTTCAACATAAAGGGCTCCTCCATAGTTTTGTGCACCATTACCAGCGAACTGTGTTGTGGCTGATTTTCCGATCCAATGCACAATCGAACCGCTTACGTACATGGCTCCTCCGTACACTCCAGCGTAGCGCGCACTGTTCTCGATAAACTGTTTCGTCGCTTCTTCTCCGGTCCAATAGACATGAGAGTCGAAGATAGAAAAGGCTCCTCCCGAACCGGAGAAAGCGCTGTTGTTAATGAACTGCGTTGTTGCTGTGCCGCCGTCCCAAGTGACTGTCGAGGCGTTCACATGAAGAGCGCCTCCATCCCGGTCTGCGGTGTTATCGGCGAACTTCGTCGTTGACTTTTCTCCCGTCCAAGAGACATCCGAGCCGACCGAAAAAAGAGCGCCCCCGGAACCAGTGTCAGCGCTGTTGTTGATGAACTGCGTCGTTGCTGTTTCGCCAGTCCAAGAGAAGTTTGATCCAGTCGTCACGCAAAGAGTCCCTCCGCTGTTGCCGGCAATATTATCGAGCCATCCACCACCGCATGATGACACAGAGCTGCCGGTTACATACATCGCGCCACCGTCGATGCCTGCCTGATTGTTGGCATAAACTGCTTCGCCACCACAAAAGACGGTAGAGCGGTTGGACAAATATATGGCACCGCCGTTGCCGGCAGCGTTGTTCCCAATGAAATTTGTCTGATTGAGTATCAAGGTGGACCCGCTTGCTGAAATCGCCCCACCATCGATGGCAGCACCAGAGGTAATGTTTACACCACTCGTGCGTAGGGTAGCGTCGATGACGTTGAAGAGCTGCGTTATTCCATTTCCGTCGATGACTGCATTCGATTCGGTGCCCGTAATAGTAAGAACGGTGCCGTCGACAACGTACAGCGGCTCATCCAAGACTACCCTGCCACTCCACTCCACCTCAAAAACCCCTCCGGAGCAGTTGTTGACGGCCTCAGCAAGAGCTTGCACTTGCGTCGAATCGTTCACCGCCCAGGTCTGTTGAACCTCCGTCGAGCAAAGCTGAGCGGCACCACCTCGGGTGTAGCACCAAAAGGACAGGGCGGCAAAAAAAAAGCTGACGATGCCGTAGAAACGAAACATTACCCTCCGTTCACTCTTGTTCGGACAAAATGCCCGTTCGTTCGCGCACCCTAAAAGCACGAAAAGCCGCGGGAAGGAAAGGGGGGGGCAAAGCTGGACATGTTTCGCAGAGAACCCACGAAAACACTCGGTCATGCAGTATACTGTAGTTTACTCTCGGAGTACTCGTTTGCCGTCTGACACTTGCAGGTAACACCGATGTTCATGGAAGCCAAATTCTTCGTCGAAACGTCGACAGTTTGAGCAAGATTGCTCGACATCCTAACCCAGACGAAGATTGTGCACCGCTTTTGTGCGAGAAATATCTTGCTTGTCGTTACAATGTTTTTCGACGTTCGTCAAATATTCGGGACAACGTGGCGTATATCCTGTGAACGATTTGTACCAGACAACCACGATTGCGCCATGAAGCTATGTAAGTTTAGCGAACTGGCAGGGCTCCTACCAACCCTTCAACCACTGCGCTGATACTCCAGCCGCAAATATGCGGCAGCAGGTTATCGGGCGCGCAAGGAGAAATTTTGGGGTGTAAAAAGGAAACAAACGTTCTTCAGCGTTTCCAACGGTAATGAGCCATGGTATAGTCCCGTTTGATACTGAGCTGATATCTCCACTACCTGCTCTCGTCCGGTTGGGCATGGGGTAGCTGTGGCCTAACTCAGTCGGCAGGGAGGCGCATTGCGGTGGACAAACGAAAGCAGGAAGCCCTTCCGGGAGCCCTTCCAGCACAGCTCGCGACTTCCCTTATCTACGTAATGCAGAGGTTTTCGGGCAGCGACAGGCCTTCGTATAGGAGTGCTTTGACCGCGACAGCGGGTGGATGTTGCATTTGACTCGTGATTTTCGAATTTCGGAGAGGAGCTGTGTTTATTGCTCCTATGGGATTTCACAGTGCTTCTCCCCGCTGCCATAGAGCAGTCGATCCTACATCGGTGGGTTACTGTGTCATCGGTGTCGGCTGCTTCTATGGAGGTCTAGCGTAACTTTGTGTGGTGTACTGTCTGGCTGTCGGCGTGCCTCGTTTGCTGTTTGCTCACTGAAGTTAAAAACGGCACCGCACACACACAGCAAGATCAAAGCGTGGAAGGCCAGGGCAATATAGAAAGTTTACTGGGTCGGCCGGGGTAGTTTGTGTGCACGATACCCACAGCTTACTGCAGGTACTTTCGCATCACGGGTTGTTGTGCTGCTGTGATGATGCTAAACAAAAACTACCCCCATCCGAATGCCCAATGTCGAACAACTTTCTCGATGGCATTCCGTGGCGCTGGATTCGACTTGACGCAAGTTGTGTATGATATTATGGTGGGGTATTTTAGCAGGAGAAGAGTGAAAATCACGTGCGCATAGACGACCCTGGAGGGATATCACGAACAAAACATACATCCCCGGGAGAGTGAATTCCTTTGAGTATTTTGGGGCCGGGACTTTTTTCAACAAAATCGATCAACTCATTAATTGTTTTCGAGGGGGGGATAGACTATGTGTAACGGGTTATATGGGGTGCGCCGGCATCCTCTCTGCTTTGCACCCAGGAGCAAATTATGTCACACAACGGTCATCAAAGTAGCGGCCACCATCGAATTCTGGTATTGCCGTGCAGCCTGCACACGCGACGAGGTTTGTCTTAAATATTATACTTCTACACTGCGTAGTCTAGATAGACCACCCGTTTACCCCTCGTACAGAGGCACACGAGGAATCGGAAACATTGAGCGGCGAGTCAACCCCCAATGCGCGCTATTTTCGTCACGACATTCGATGCATACAGGCAGTCCAGACTACATTACATGTAGTCTAGAGGTTCGAACAAAAAAGAAACATGTAGACTAGCTCGATATCGTTTAGACCATGCCTTGATTTGTGTGTTTTAGTATTCTTCACCTGTGTCTACATACAACTCTGATGCGGCTCTGTGCAATTGGTTGCAACTCTCTTCGCACATGAACACTAGCGTGCAACCCGTCCTCCGCCCGCACCTGCCAAACCGATGCGCTCCACCGTAGTCAGAACCCTCACTCCAATCCAAGGCCCGTTCTGCAATGTTAGCTACAGTATGTATGAGACCCTCCAACTAGCTGTCCGACTGGCGGGGGACACGAGGCTCCAGCTACCTGGCGCGTGGTGGGAAACAAGGAGTCGGTGTGGTGGGCCCCGTAATATGGTAGATATCTCTATGCATACCATAAAGCAAAACTGTCCGTCTGTATGAACATTGGATGTGGACCGTTTCGGTCGCTTCTTTTTGCGCAGACGTGTAGAGGAAGGGACGGGAACAGTAGGGCACTTGGTTTGGGGCCGATCGGGGCCGTGGTCGCCGAGCAATGAGCGTGCACAGTTTGCGTCCCCTACCCAAAAAAACCAGAGAAAACACGCAAGACGCAAGCCCGGAAAAGAGTTGTGCAACGTTGGCGGATCTCGAGTTGATTTTAGAAGAGGGTGTGAATCCGGAAACGACAACTGCTCCGGTGCAGCAGCATTTGAATCACTCAACCACGTTGAAATTGCTTAGATCGTATGGAGCCGATGTCGCTCAATTTGCATGGGATGGATCAGTAGATGATATCCGAATCTCGAGCATGAAGGCCCAAATTGAACGATTGGAAGCTCAGTTGCTGGCATGCGGGCAGTCCCTCGAAATGTGCGAGTCTGAAAAAGGCCTCTATGCGGTTTGAGCTACATCGTCTAGAGGATGATATCGCTGCTATTTCTCTCAATTTGACACGGGTGCGCGGAGAATCCAGTGAAAAATACCGTACTATCGATGGCTTGAATCGAGTCAACAAGACCGATCTGGAGCGAACGATAGGGTTGCTGAGAGCTGTTGTAGACGAACGCCGTTTGACTACAAACAGCTTGAGGGCCGAGGTAGCACAACTGAGAGAAGAGATTCGTATACTGAGAGAAGCTGCACCTTCGGCAAACAATGAGAGGGACAGTCCCGAGCAGGAAGAAACAAAACGTGCCGACAAGCAAAGTCGACGATTGGAAACTGTTTGAAGACGAAACTAGGGACGCCCGCCCCAAGAACAAACGTCGACATGGGAAATACATTTGATGTGAACCACATGAGGGTACTAGTCTTGTGATCTACCGAGGTGTTTAAACTACTGCTGAAAATCTTCAAACGCCGGCGCCAACCTTAGGGATCATCGGATAGAGGGGGGGGAGGGGATTTTGGAGAATATTGTTCGCGTCACACACACGAAAAATGAAGCGACTCAAATATGCCCAAAATATATGCAGATGTGCGCATGGAAGCCGCTTATTCCCCAGGGGGGACAGCTATCTCTCAATTTTTGCCTAATATAAGCTGTCTAGTCATGTCACATGCGCGGCTTCTCCGCCACGCCACACAACCGCCCAAAAAACAAACGCGCAAGCGCCAAAACAGACACACCGCAAACACACACCTGGTGCTCCTGCGCCTGCTGCTGGCGCTCCCGTCGGCTCCTCCTGCCCCAGCTGCTACTGTTACAGCTCTGACGATCTCACACGCCTGTTCAGTTACGTGAGGGGGGGGGGTCAAATTTTTTTACATTCTGGATACCCTAGGCCGATCGGGGGTGGTGTATCGTAAAAAATACAGATTTGGAAGAGGGGGGTGGTGCTTCTGCCGCTGAAGGGTGGTACTGCTTCTGCGCCATCGGGGCGACGCGCCCTGCTGTGACACGAGGCGCGAGTGCGAAACGTGGGGTGGGTTCAGGGAAAATCATCGTTGCGGTTCGGTCTAGGTGTTCAATGTTGAAACATATCGTTGAGATCAGTTTGTTTTTGTTGCCATGGTGTAACAATCGCAATCAAGGAAATGACTTGCAGGTACCAGATGAAAGACAAGATAAATGTCTTGCTCCCAACTCCTGGGTCATTTTTCTTTGCACCCACAAACGCCAGCTTCTCTACACCACGTCAAGTTAAAAAAGAACATCGTAAACAAAATCGTCGTGATCGCGGGCAACAACTCAACTACGAAACAGACGAAACCTGAGTACAAGAAACGTATCCGCGCATATTTTTACAAGCCCATGGACAAAGCTGAGCAACGATGCTGACATTTTGCTGAAGCAAAACAGCACCCCCCAAACGCTGGAGGCAATGCGGGCAGCGAGAGAATCCGCGGACATCGTCACCAAAGAGAAAGCCGTGCTGAAGGCTGGCACAGCTGTTGAATCCACGAAAAATGTACAAAGGAGAAGGAGCGCAAGGCGCTGGCCATGATAAGGACGGCGGGTGCGGCTGCCGGGCGCAGACGGGTATAGAAGAGGGTTGCCGCGGCCGCAGCCAACGAGAAACGAGTCAGATCAACCGGTACGATCCGCAAGCCGCCACGTGTGCTGTGGCTGCAGCTTCGAAAAGGACCAGAGCAGCTACGGCTACGTTCTAAATAATCAAGCGACCAGTAGCTTGCCGAAGATGTTTTTTCTTCAGCTAAAACAAGAAAAGACTAGGATGACCATACATCGGGAGGAGTACCAGGAGGAGGAGGGTAACGTACATGTGTTGCGCGATTGCTAACAGAAAACTAAAGAGATTAAACGAAGAGACAATAGGCACTCTCCTCAACATGCCATCAACTCTGAGCAAAGCCAGCGGTTCCATCGATCCTACCATTGCTACGACCGGCATCGACCGAGGCTGTGGTGATACGAACCAGACACCGCTGATGGTGGCCTCCGTCATTGGTTCCTCGCGCGTTGTTAGAGACCTTCTGCGGCAGGGTGCCAGCGTCTCGGTAGCGGACAGCGACGGTTGTACTGCTCTGCACCATTCGGTTTATCACAACCATCTGGCCGTGAGCAAAGACCTGATCGAGGCGGGAGCAGACCTTGAAGCGAGGCATGGTGGCAAAGATACACCGCTTCACGTGGCCGCGACGAAAGGGTTTTGCCAAGGAATGAAGCTGCTGATGGACAGCAGGCTCGACGACGGAGCAACACCTCTGTTCTTAGCGGCAAGCGACGGGCGGCTCGAAGCGGTCAGAGTTCTCCTTCGGGCGAACGCGAATCCGCTCCTGTCAGCGTGCGGAAGTCTCCCGTTGTATATGGCGGTTTACAATCGACCATTGGTACGGAATCGATCGCTGTACAAGCGACGGCGGCGCACTGGCTCTCGCAACGGCCGCTTCTCGCAATCACGTGGACATCGTCACCTTCCTGTGCGATGCCGGTGTGGTTGATACGGAGGGCGTGGCCCTGTGTGCCGCCATTGAGGGATGTAGCGAGGCGTGCGTCAACCTTCTGCTGCGGAGACAGGGTGGAAATGCCAACACGGGTACGCGTGCCTACGTCAATATGGACCACGGTACTCTCCCGGAAACCTATGACGAATCCGTGTTCCAAGAAACACCGCTGGTGAGCACATTCAATCTGGGAAGCTTTCATGCTCCCAGATTCGCGCGCTTGCTACTTGAAGCCGGGGCGGACGCGACATCGGGCGTTCGGTTTCCGTGCGACAGTGATGAGGGGGAAGAAGACGAAGGGTTCATCGGCACGCCCCTGGACTTGGCTACATCCTATTTTCGCAGATTTGGTGCAAACATGAGAGTCCACCGCGAGATGGTGCGGGGGCTGAAGGGTGTCATCCGCCTGCTGCGACAGGAGGAGGCAGTTCACGCGGTCTCTTGGCTGTGGCCAATCGACACCGGTCGTTCTGCAGAGCGTGCGTCCCGGAAGAAATCAACATCGATCGCTCGCATGCTGCCGCTTCTGAAGAAGAGGGCGGCGAAGCCTCGTGTGCTCTTGGCAGCCATGTCTAGGTGCGTGGTGTTGTTGAATTGTGCGGGCGTGTGTTGCGGCCAATAAAGAATTGGAAAGAAGTTGGCTGAAATGGTTTTACCCGCCCCGCTTGTTTTCGACAGGTACAACGAGAAGCAGGACGGAGCTTTCCTCGGGTACCTCCCGGATAAATCCGCGGGAGTCCAATACCAGGATGGAGCCCAGTTATCGCTTGGGCAAGGTCAAAAGAAGATTTTCGCACGGCGGAGTGCTCCGTTTTTTCTAGGGTGTTTTAATTCTTAGAAAAACGGAAGGGATTCGATCCCATGGTTTTGTCGGAGGTATTCAAGCGGCCTGCGGAAAAAAGAGCGCCGGTCTAGAAGTATTTTGTTGCGATTGTTTACACAAAAACGTAGGGAGTTGGGAAGCGTGTGTACAAGTCGCACAACAACCAATATCAAATCATGAACGCCATCCTGATCGACCCTTCAACCGGACGCATCGGGACCTTATCAGTGCTCCAAACGTTGTCGGTTTTACCAGACGTACTCTTGAGCTCGAAAGAGCGCGAGCTTCTCGTTCTGGCAAAGAGCGCAGGCGAAGGCGCCGGCAGCCGCCACCGGAACGACGGCAGAAGCCTCGAGCACAACAACAGGAGCCCGATCAACGCGTGGAGGAGATCGAGACAAACCCATCTATCATGCAGACAGCTCTTTGTTCCGCGAACATTAGCCCGAAAACACGCTAGCTGTCGCTACTGTTGCAGCTGACGCGTCACACGTAGATCCGTGGCACGGCGTTGTCACCCCTCAGTGTCACGCGTCGGTGCGTGGGGATGAAATTCCCATTGAGCATTGTTACGCTAGGTAGCCAGGCAGGCCAGGTGGGGAAAATGATTACGGGTCTGTGCACCGTTCAGTATGGCGTGGTTGATGGGGGCCTGTACTACGCACGTGACCGTGGTATCGTAGAGAAGGCGATCCGTGAGGTAGCTCAGGCTCTATCTCCTTTTTGTTTTTTGGGTTTTCGTCGCACTCTGGCGTAAGTGGTATGTGGTGCCACGCGGGCAAACATGAAATCATTTGCATTTTTTACGTGGCATGATTGAGAAGGTGATGAACATGGCTTCCTATGGAGCAATCCGTCGGCGTACAAATCGCCTCCATCATCGAGCAACCGCACAGTCGAAATCGGCACGGAGTGTGGAATCTTCCGTCAATTGCGGTAAAACCGGCGAGGCTTGCTCCGATCTATTCGCACGTCGCTCTCTCCCTCTCGCGGATGGAAAAAAAGGCGGTTTGAAGAATGAACGGAGGATAGGTGCTCCTTGCGGACAGCGAGACATGGTCGGGCACATCTGGTTGTTTGAACTTTGGTCTTTCCATCTGCCACTCGTCGGACATATCATGTGTGTTTCGATCTCTGTACAAGATCATGTTGAGGGAAGGAGGGTCGGTGTTTCTTGCGCTCGCGACCAAGCGTCTGACACATCACGGGTGCTCAAACTCTGCTCTTTCCCTGTCCCCGACTACAAAAAATGCTGGTTGGTGGAACGAGAGCACGACCGGTGCTCTCGCGTGCGAGATAAACCATTTGAAACATCATGGTTATTTGAACTTTGTTTCCTGCCTGTTCGTCGATTTGAAAATTGTTGGTTTGTGGAACGAACGGAGCACTGGTACTCCTTGCGCGCGAGACAAAACATTGGACACGTCATTGTGTTCGAAGTTTGCTCTCTCCCTCGCTGACCTACGAACAGCTGGTTTGAATCACGAGAGAGGGATCGGTGATGTTCGCTCACGCGATCAAGCGTCAGACACGCCATGGATGCTCCAACGTTGCTCTCTGCCCCCTCCCGACTACAAAACATGCTGGTTTGTGGAACAAGAGCGCGATCGGTGCTCCAAGCGAGCGCAACAATCGTCGGACACAAGGGCAATTAGGGCTATTGTTATCGACCAATAAAACACGAAAACAAAAACGAAACCGTGTTTTCTTGAACACATATGGAGGCGTTTTTGAACGAAAGCGTGAAAAGAAGGAGCCGGGTTTTTTTGGGGCTTGCTACTTAAACGAATTCGTGTTTTTGACCGAAGCATCGGACAAGCGCACCGCGGGCGCTGTAACATCACTGAGAACGCTAGAAAGACCTGCCAGACTCACGTCCAGGTCCGTTGTGGAGATGGACAAGCGGCAGAAGCGGCGTTCAGTCCGTTCTTGGTCCAAAACTAGACATTGCGTGGTGCTCTCGTCTTCAACTGCTGCTGTTGGTGCTGGGGAATTTTTTTCGATCACACATAGCAAACACGGAAACAGTAGAACGAGTACAGCAGCAGCAGCAAGACCTCCAAAGCGCTGATTCCTTCGGTTCGGCTGTCTATATGATACCATCTCCCGGCGCCGTGCTGCTTCGTGGGTATTGAGTGCTTGGGTGCTGCTCAATAAGGTGTGTGAGAGACGTGTGCCACCTCACCAAAATGCCGTTGGAAAAATTGCGGCGAGATGATCTGTTTTTGGTCGGACACATGAACATCAATCCACGGCGTCACGCAGCAGTAGAGCAACAGGGCCTCCGACACGCTAATTCTTTCGGATTGGCCATCTATATGATGCTGGCCGTCAGCGCGGCTGCCGCCCGATGATTGTTGAGCTCGTCTACCTTTGGGTAGGTGGTGGTCAAAGATGGGAGTCGCAACCGTGAAAAATGAGCTGGCAAACTGAAGAAATCGCAAGCAACACCCAGGTTGCGACACTCTAAAGGTGGACGGGCACTTCACGGCCCTAGGTTTGCTAGAGGGAGCTGTAGTGCCTCAGTAACCTGGCTTCGCCATCAAAGGAGGAGGGAGCAGGTGGCGACGAGCTGAACTGGGCTGGTTGACCCTTCGGCGCGAGAATTTTTATTTTTTTCAGACCAAGATTCTTGAGTGCAACGAGGGAGAAAGCGAGGAACCGACTGGGAAGGACAGCAACGAGAGCATGTACGGACAGAGCAGATCGAGTGGCGTTCTGCTCGGGCTGACTACAGCGGCGCCGGATGGAGCAGCGGCACCGTAGCATGCGGGCGACATCGACCCGTGGGGCACGGAGAAACATTTCTGTTCTGTCTGTCTGTGTTGTCATTTTTTTCGTTTTTTTTTTCTGACTTTCGGTGTTGGTTTTGTGTGATGACGTCGTCACTGGTTTTGTAGAGAGACCCGTCAGAGATGGCGTGGCTAACCCGGGTGCCTTGGTTTTGTGCCTGATCGTGGAAGACCCATTCAATGTGGAACGATTCTTAGCTAGTGTCGATATTTTCACTGCAGTGCCTAACACAGACGATCGGGAGAGATTCGGGTGATTGTCAATTACTATCATGGCCTGGTTTGTTGTTCTTTTTCACTGTACGTCCGCAGACACATTCTGACAGCACTTCAGACAGCAGCTTTGTGCCCCGCCAGCTTCTTGTTCCATGCCTACCATGGTGTTTTTGTACAGACAGCACTTCAGACAGCAGTATGCTGTAGTCGGCAATGTCGTTTTGGTACAGAGTGTGACAGGCAGGGGGTGATGCTACTGTAGTCGAACGGTGGGACGGACGTGCAGTTCAGGTTTTTTAGGCACGCATATGCGGTGCTCCAGGGATTTTAGGTGTACCCCTTCGGGCTCTTGTATACCTTGTTCTTTTACGTGTGTGTGCGTGTTCTTTACATCCTCAGATGGCTCTAGCACTCTCGTGACCACGGGCTGAGAGTCTTTGCTAGATTTTGGCATTTAGCAATTGGCATACGGTTTAATGTGAAGACAACAAAACAACAACAACAACAACTCTGCCGTGCGCCTGTTGTTGCTGAAAACTGAAAACAGCAGGCCGGGTGGACGGGATCTTTCTAAGTGTGTTGTCCTCTGTGCCGGGTGCTGCTTATTGCGCTTTTATCGCTGCTCTATGGTGAGCAATACCATGTCAACCTGTTGTGTGCCGAGCAAAGCGTGTATTCAGGGAAGGAAACGTGCTTTTTTTGATGACATCACGAAAAGAACAAGCAAAAAAAAGTCGGGTTTTCTTTTAACCGTTCCGTTTAAAAAAGAACGATTTCGACGTTGCGTTAACAATAACCCTTAGAACTTTGGCCTCAGCCTCTCCCGGGTTTGAGAATCGCTGGTGCGTGGAACGAGATAGGGATCGGTGCTTCTTGCTTGCGCGACCAAGCGTGGGACACAGCATGGCTATTTGAGCTGTGCTCTCTTCCTCTCCCTGCATGCAAAAAGCTGGTTTTAAAGAACGAGAGCAGGGTCGGTGCTTCTTGCGCGCGCGACAAATCCTCCGAAACATAATGGGTGCTCGAACGTTTGCGTTCAAGAACAAACTGAGGATGGTGCTACTTGCTCTCGCGGCAAAGCGCCGGACACATTTATATGCCTGTTTGAACTGTCCTCTTTCCATCTCTGATTTGTGAACAGCAGGTTTGGCAAACGAGAGAGAGGT